TGATGAGGCAGAAAAGCTTTGATCTGGTTAAAATAAAAGGTTTTAAATTTGAAACCCAAACTTTGAACGAGTGAATCTGTACAACTTTATGCTCTATTTTATTTTTAGATCATTTAAACATATGGAGGTAAATGTGTTTTATCCTGATTGCAGCCCAAATATATCCTGATTTTAGATTTCCTTGGCGTCGCTCTCAGCCCGGCTTAGAGGTCAGACTGACTCAGGGCTCCGCCTTTAAACGGGGGTTTAAACAACGGTCTCAAACGCACCAATAAACGAGCAGCACGCTGGTTCCAGACCAGCGAGGTACGTTAAGGAGCAGCAGCCTCATCTCTAATGCAATACAAACCTGCAGGCTAAAGCCATGCTGCTGCTGCTGCTGCTGCTGCTGAGAGGAAATATTAAAATAAAAATGTTTTCCAGGGATCCTGGGCTGGGTCACCTGTACTAAAGGTGCAACAGGTGGATGATCCGCTCCATGCAGGAGTGCACCATCATACCCGACTCAAAGCAAACCTTATTTAGTGAGTTGCTGAAGCTAAATGCTTTTATTGAGAGAAGAGTCGCTATGAAGGAAGAAAGTCTCAGTCTCTGCAAACAGAACTTTCTGTAACAGAATATCTTTGTTTTTATGTTTTGCTCAAGTGTGAAATATTCCTTTTAAGTGTGGAGGTTTATTGACCCCCATGTCAGCATTTTAGACAGTTTTTAAAAATATCCGTTTTACTTTAGTGTCTCTTTGCTAAGCAGCGTTTTACAAGCTGTTGACAGATGATATTTACACTCCTAATGCTGCTTTGGAAACTTTTCTCCACAAGCTCCAAATTTCCCCAAAATCATTAACCATGTTTGAAATAATTGGTTGTTTTTTTTTTAACTCATTAAATATAATTTTATTAATCATAAATAAGCTCTTTGCTGTCTAATCAAACAGCCCTGGAGGCGCCTAGCTCACAGTTTGCCAACAGGGATCAGGACTTTTATCCTTTAATATCCATTTATTGCATCAATTAAATGTCATTTAATGAGAAAAGTAAATAAGGATGAAATGTGTGCAGCGTCATCCTTCCTCTGTTAAAACACCAAAGCTGCCATTTTGCTAATTCTAGTCAACCTGAAACATTTTCCAGACCTGAAAATTTGGAAGTAACATTTCCAGGAGGTCTGTTCAACTTTAGCTTTACTAAAATAAAATGTTGGCCATTAAACCTGCCCTTTAACCCCTTCCTGACCTTCTGTTCTCCAATCTTTGGCTCATTTTCATGGCAGCTTCCATTCAACACATTCAGCCTTATTGAACTGGAGGAGCTGCCCTTTTTTTCTGCTGTTGGAAACAAAGCTTTTTTTTTTAAATAAGGGGATAAAAACGAGAACTTTGTCACTTAAATAAGAATCATCAAGCCGCACTATGGTTGAATATCTGAATACATTATAGATTTCTGCTGGAGGTTTCTTCCTGTTCAAAGGGAGTTTTTCCTCTCCACTGTCGCTACAAGCATGATTAGTGTGAGGGATTGCTGAAGAGTCAATGAGTCGATGCAATCAGCTGGTTTTCCTTAGATAGAAAACTTTGAATCAATCTGACTGGATGATCTGGATCTATAGTCGCCTGAAATGACATGATGTGAATTGGAGCTATAGAAATAAACTGAATAGAATCACGTTGTTTCTGCATTTATAAATATAAGCCTGTTTTTCTGTTTCTTTTCTTCTACTCTCCCAGAGCTCATCAGAAACTCTATAACAGTCGAGATATTTAACTGTCTCTCAGCAGTTCTTATTGAACATATTTTCTATTTACAGTATCGGTTTCTACTACATAGATATCCTAAAGGAATCTAGAACCAGTTAATATTTCCAGGAGTTTGCAGCCAAGTAGATCAGCTGGTTGCACAATAATGCCAAAGGTCACAGAGAGAAGAAACATTCATCAGAAAACTGCTCCTTAAAGTTTAAAGTTTGTCTCTATTTTAAACGTGTAGTTTGGACATTTTTTAAGGAATCCTTTATTTTTTTTCAAACTTGAAAAAGAAGCAGAAAATAGTTGAATTAGCAAAATCATTTATAATAGTTTCCTCTGAGCGATAGATTTCTATTTATGTTATAAATTGTTTGATCTGAGACCAAAATCACTGGAAAGATATTTTCAACAACTTTTTTACTTTATGAAGCTCCTAAAACTCATCTGTCCTTTATTTTACCTGCTGTTGATCTATAAGGTTTAAACATTTATATATTTCCTAAAGCACGCGACTTGGTTTAAGGAAACATTGCTTTTTCCCACAGGCAGTGAATGCACCACTTTCTTTATCACATTTTTGACAACTTCCTGAACTCAGTTAGTTTGCTACGTGGCTCCGCTTCTCACTATATATATGAACCTCATTATAATCCTCATTATGAACCTCATTATAGCCGTTATTATAACCATTATTATATCGTTTAAACATGGTTCACAGCTCGGTGTTTCTAAAGCCAGTAATAAATAAAGAATAAAGGTTTATCTCTCTGCTGCCTCCTCGCAGCAGCTAAGCTCAGCCTCCGTGTTTTTATCACGGTGGGTTTTCCACGCCATGAGGCGGAGGTCTGCGGAGCTCTGCCCTACCTGCAGCGCAGCGATGCCGGCCGGGCTGTCCGCCGCGCCGGGCGGGCTGTCGAAGAGCCGGTCCCGGTAGAGAGAGCCGATGTTCGGCAGGAAGAGCAGCGCCGCCAGCAGCAGCCCGGCGGCCTGCAGCAGCCGCTTCTGCTTCCTCCGCATCTTCACCGGGAGGAAGGAGCTGGAATGACGGACCGAGGCGGAGACTTCTTCCCGCACAGCAGAACACAGCGGAGCTGACAAGTTTAGCTGTGGAGGAAATCCACGCGTGACGCTGTTCCTGCTCCACCGCTAGAGGGCGCAGCGGGGTTTATAAGGACGCGTCATCAGACACATTTATTTATTTAAGGTTATTTAAACTCAGTTAAAGTTATTATCTTCATGGAATAATAATCAGAAGAGGTGAACCTGCAGAAACATGTTTGATTTTTTATTCTAAATGAAAATCATTGATACACAGAAAATGAAATATCAGAACATGGAGGTAGCTTCTATTATAGATCAGAGGAA